TACCGTTACGGTAGCTAACTACGAATTAATAGTTCCTACCTAACGAACGTACGACGTTTGTACGTACAGTCAGATCAGAGTATAGTATATATATATATATATATATATATATATATATAATAGCGAACACTAAAGGAAAAGAAAGGAAAATAAAATATTAAAAATAAACCATACGTTAAAACTCAAAGATGTGCAACTATGAATATAATCAAAAGAAGATCTTTTGAGAACATTCGAAGAAAAATTAAAAGGTACGTCCCCACTTTTCTACTTCTTAATTCTAAACATTTTGTTACACTATAAGTTGATGATATTAGCTATAGCTAGTAATATGGTAGAGAAAGCAAAAAGTGAAATATATAAACATTTACTTAAAAAACTTTTGATATTCCCTTAGGAGGTTTGAAAATTATAAGGTGAAAAAAGTATTTTTTATACACAACATGAAAAATACCCTTGCACTTGAACTATTCAGAGTGAGTGCAAATAACTACAACAACAAATTTTAGCAAAAATAATTAATTAAAATAATATTCTTTGTGTATAAAATACTTGTTGTGAAGATATGTTAAGAAAGCTTGGAGTTATTGTAAGTTCTATTGAACTGTGTATCATTCCCCATAGAAACAATACCCAATCGACCTAAGTTGTAAGCGTAGAATTAATTAAATAATGCACCTAAGAACACAGAATAATAGCATGTAAAAAGCAGGTAATGTCTTATAACTATCATAATTATTCTGGCTTTCTAACTATGCAGTAAGAGCAATTAAAAATTCAACTAAGATTCTTAATGTTTCCTGTAGGAATAAAGTTTGAACTGGAAGTGAAATATACAATTCTCTGTGCAGAAAACAACATATCATTTGATAGATTAAAGCTCTGGCTTTCTATTGTTTATAAATAATATAGTATTACATGTCAGCGAGAGAACTACTGGCAATTTAACTTGATAGATTAAAGCTCTTTCTATTGGTTATAAATAATATAGTACTACATGTCAGAGAGAAAACTAATGACAATTTCTGGAAGAAAAGATGTGACAGGTGGGTGTGGTTCGTGGGTCTGATTTTCTAGTTTATAGTTTCATAAACAAATAAGACTGAAGTCTATAAAAATTATGCTTTGCATGAGTGATGACAATATTATAATGAGTAATTTACATTAAATTCTGTACTTCTTAGAGGGATGGTAAATATATTAAAGAGGGAAGACCTAGAGAGCAAATGTCACAATTCTCATACTAGGGGAATTGTGTTGTTTTTTAATACTGTCTTATGAAATTAAGAACTTAAAACTTATATAATATTAACATTTAAATTATTAGCTATGTTTTGATGCCATGTTTATTCGTATACCATGATAATAATGTAGTTTAATTAAATTTTCAACGTAACTCAGTAAAACCTCTTGACATGCACATAAAAGAATGCCTGTAAGGAAAGATTAATGTACTGATCATTTGCACGAGAAACTTACGACAAAAACATTATATAATACACATATTTAAACATCTATAGGTAATCATCTAAAAACTAACATAGTCACACAAATAAGACAACCTCATACACAAGTACTCATACAGATGGGTTGGTAAAAAAAAGACTTATGAGCTCGTACATTTGTAACTAAATCATGTACTTTTTTAGTAGAAATAAAAACAACTAAATTACCTTCTTGGGCCACTTTCCATATGTGTACTGTCAATTTCCATTGCAAGTTGACCTTCTACTTGGCTTGAACTGCTCGGTGGCTGAGTACTCGAGAGGTCAACAGCAGATACAGAAGGTTCTCTATGACGAGGCTTGATTATATAAGGCTGTTCTTCTTTACATATACCTACTTCCATCTATTTGTAAAATGTTTGAAAGAATGATTTATTTTCCCCATGACCATCAAAATCACGGTATGAAAACTGCTTAATACTGATTTTCTTTCTAGAATTTTCAAATATTCATTATATCTAGGATAGATAATATCAAACAGGTCAACTAATTTCATGAATGTCAAAAGGATAAGCTAAAAGATAAATTTTCTTTAACCTTCGAATCATGATTTTACATTTTATCTTCTATTAAACAAGAAAACTGAAAGAAAATATGTATTCCATAAGCGTAATGCATATTATATTTTGACAAGTTACATCTAACATTTATTAATTGAAAATGAAGAACAAAACCTTACCTCCAACCGATTTATGAAGCTTATCAATCCTCCATGCGAGTGGAAAGCCTGCATGTCCAGGTTAGTGATTAAGTCTATCACCCTTACTGCTCTAGTTACAAACTGCACAAAAGAAATTTTAAGTTTTGAGAAATAGCATTATAATTTCCTCTCTGATTATGACTGAAATAATGTAACAGAAACAAAATATTTAGCTCAAAATTAAAAAGGTTTACATAATGTTATGCTTTAGAAATCACAATTCTTATTTATGATAAATGTAACTAGCTCAATGAAGACTGAAACTAAGTGATTTTTGTTTACTGATCTGGGACATTTTACTAATATTTTTTTTATGTTTCATAAATACCAGTTATTTCATTTTTCCCAAGGAAAACCACCAAAAGTGTGTAAAGTAGTCAACATATTACTTAATATTAAATTTATAACTTAATGCTTTAACTGGGATACCTAAATACATACCGTAATATGTTCTGATTCTGTTCCATGCCAGTTTATCACTTTCAATAAGGCCTCCATCATCCCACATGCAACAAGGGCTTCTCCACCTAACAAAGTCAGACTTTTTCAGCTTTGATTTATTTATATGATTCAGTAAATCTTGCATTTATTTCCATCTACATAAGTTTAATCCTCTAACAAATAATGTTCAGAATTAGCTATATTTGTACATGTAGAGACTAAATGATATTTTTTTTAGTTTATTATAGATGCATTGAAAATTAATAAAGATTAAGATTTTCCAAGATCTCCACAGATACAAAGCTGATATAATGAATGTGTTTGTTCTTAGGACCTAAAACCTATACAATGACTCTGGATAACTTTATATATTTCATTATATTTTTTCTTGTATATGCCAGAAAGCTACCTACATACACTCAAGTGTCATTGTCCCTTCACAATACCAAACAAAAGTGTGTGTGTGTGTTGGAATCATAAATCAACAAACATGCAAATTCTATTTTTAGCAATTTTGGATTGCGAAGTCAAAACAGGAAGCTTTCATTTTCTATACCTTCAAACTAACACAATATGTAATTTCTTATGTATAGCAGGCTTGACAACTGTACAAAGGCAATGAATGAATATAATTCTGTTGATTTTATTAAAAGTTACAAGAAAAAAATAATATCACTTTTAATGCATAAATAAAAACAATGTTCTCACCTTATAAAAAACTACTGCAATAGTAAACAAAACTTACCGCTCTCATAACTAGCAAGGTGGTATAAAAATGAAAATAAAGCTGTTGCAAATGGTAAGGGAAATGGTTCTAACTCTGGATCTGTAGAAATGAAATTGAAAAGCCAATTATTTAAAATCACTTTTATAAAAAAGTCCTTTATTTTTTTTTAATCAAACCCTATTATTTACACTGTTTAGCAATGACTATTTAAAATTTAGTGTTGATGCAATAAAAGACACTGAAAACATTTGTCAATTTTAATATCTACAAATAGTTGATAACAGATTTAATAAATTATTTCACATATTACCATTTATCCACAAATAGGCCTGTCAAAACCTAGAAAAAGAAACTAGTCAATGTACCCATTCAATTCAAAGGGAAGACATGGGGGGGGGGGAACCAATTAACTGGCTTTTCAGCTTCAATTTCTCTTTTTAACG